GAGTTCTCTGAGCCCTGGCACTTGTTCATACCTAGATGGTGAGATGGAGATTGTAGACCAGACAGTCATACGGTGATGCCCAGAGGTAGCTGTGAGCTGGTGTAGCAGGGACAGGGCTGGGCTCACAGCTTCTCTCAGTAGACTTTTAGAGTGGCCTCAATGTTTGAATCATGTAAGGATTTTCACTGAGCTACTTTGGCTGGCACCGTCTACACAGAACCAAGAGCAGCCTTAATCCCTCATGGTCACTAGCACCAGCTAATTACTTATTTCACAGAGGAGTGAGCACTATGTATGCAGGTAAAGATAGGGTCCTTGGTGGGAGCTGTTTGTCCTTGGGAGAGTCACCCTCCCAGCCCCCCAACTTTTGTGATTATTTCTAAAAGGAGGACCATGGCAGCCCTTTGATCATGGAATTATACTGATGGGCTATTGGTATGATAATGTATACTTTGAATAAATAAGTGACTTAATATGTGGTGAGCTCCTCCCACACATATGAGAAGACTTAGGAACACCTATGGATTGAAAGATGAGCAGTTTGGTTTTAAAAAAAAGCCCCTCCCCCCCAGATAAATGCCTACTTAAGACAGCATTGCATTTTTAAAGGTTTATTTACATTGTGTGTGTGTGTGTGTGTGTGTGTGTGTGTGTGTGTGTGTATGGGTGTGTGTAAAGACACATACATGAGGCCAGAGGAGGGTATCAGATCCCGTGGAAATGGAGTTATAGGCAGTTGTCAGTCATTTCACAGGTCCTCCAAAAGCATAGCAAGTGCCAGAAACTGTTTAACCTTCTCTCCAGTCCCATTGTTGGATTTCTAATGCCAAATTCAAACTCAAGGAAAAGAAAACAGACAAGAGAGAAATGGGGGGAAACATTTACTTTCAGTGAAATTCATTTAATGGGTGCCAAGAGAGTAGCAGAGTAACAACACTGGATGGCAGAGTCAAGAGTCTCCCAGAGATAGAAGGGCAGGGCTCCCTTCACCTGCAAAGTCATCCCAGGTGTTTATTGGCATCGATGGAATGATAGAACACAGAAGCGCAGCCTAGTCACTTTCTAGTGCAGAACAGCAAGGAGAATGATATTTAAAGACACATAGAGAAAAAACCCAACCCACTCATGGAGAGCATTTCTCAGTGATGCCAAAAAAGAACGGACCAGCCTCCTCTAACAAGAGTTATATCTGTTGTGAAGTAACAATTCTATCACCAGCTAAACTATCACACACACTGTTTGATATAAAGACGTACGCAGGCTGATGAAGGTGTAGAAGTTCAGGGCCCTTAGAGCACTTACTGTATTGGCCCACTAGCCACTTGGCCCACTGATTAATTTCAGTCAGAAAAATAGAACATGATCAGGCCCATTCATTCACAGTGACTGCTTGTGAGTCTCCAGGGCAGAAGGGTTGCAATAAACACCATGTGACCCCCACACGGAAAATATTTACCTTCTATAAAAGCAATAAAGGAGCTACTAACAACAATTGTTCATTTTATTAGTGACTTTTCTCATTGCTGTGCCTGAACACTCGACAGGAAGCAATGCACAAAGGATGCATTGCTTGTGGTCCATGGCTTATGGATATACAGTCCGTCATGACTGAGAAAGCACGCGGAGTTCACAGCGGTAGGAGTGCTGGGCTGAGAGTTCTCACATTGCCTTGGATCAGGAAACAGAGATCGGACAGGAAGTTGGGCTGTGGAGCTTCAAGGACTTCCTCTAGTGTCTCCCTTCCTCCAGTAGGCGCCACCTCCTAGGGGCTCCTCTGCCTCTCTAAACAGATCACTAACAGTGTAACCAGTCTGCAAACACATGGGCCTGTGCTGGACACACTGGTAGATACTTACCTCTATTTCTCTGTCCCCTTTCCAGGCCTATGCACGTCTGAAACCACAATGATAAAGTGTTTCCATCTCCAGGAGCCCGTGTGTGGTGAGGTGCATTTGCCAACCCAGAGCTGGAGAGACAGAGATGCTTTAAATGAAACCGGCCCCCTCCGGCCCATAGAGAGAGGCACTATTAGTAGGTGTGACCTTGTTGGCGTAGGTGTGGCTTTGCGGGAGGAAGTGTGTCCCTGGGAGCGGACTTGGAGATTTCAGATGCTCTTGCCAGGTCCAAGGACTCCCTCTCTCTGCTGTCTGCAGTTCTGGATGTAGAACTCTCCGCTGCTCTCCAGCACCATGTTAACCTGCTTCCCGTCACGGCTCTGAACTATAAGCCAGCCCCAACGAAACGTTTTCTTATTTGAGTTGCCGTGTTCCTTCTATTTGCAGCAACAGAACACTGGCTGAGACAGCAGAGAGAAGATTCCTAGAGTTCACTGGCTGGCCAGCCTAGCCTAATCAGGGACCAGTAATAGACCCTATCTGGGGGGAAAAGGGAGTTGCGGGGGAGACATCCTGAGGAATAACACCCATGGTTAGACTCTGCCTTCATGTGCATGTGAGCATACAGGCATGTGCACACCCACACACATTAAAAAAGGCAAATAAATATCCAAAGCAGGCATTCTCCATGACATCCAGAGCGGAGGAGGAGGAGGCAAGGTTGAAGGATGCCATGGCTAACATGGGAGAAAGCTGTGAAGGAGACACAAGAGTACTGCAAGGATCGTCAGCCCCTATGCGGCTTACAGAAGCCTCGGTGCTGAGAGCAAAGCTAACCCTGGTGTTTGCCATCGGGGACGTAGGCGAGCAGGCACCCATGTATGGTGGCTTTCTGATGGATTGGCTCAAGTGAGACAGCAAAGGAAAGGCAGGGGAAGACAGGAAGACAAAGGTGGAGGGGGAGTGAAATTCATGGTCCTCGGCCAGCCTCCCTGTTCCACAGCTCCGGACCACTGGGAGGACCAACGAGACACACCTCGCCGTAGGACATTTGTGTTCACAGTCACTCAGTCTTACAACATTCCTGCCCGGAGCACCACTCAGACCACAGAAGGCAGTTCCAAGTCTTCCTGCCAGCCAGGGAGAGAACCAGATGCTCAGTGAGGGAGAGGCCCTGGCAGGTTCGGACAGCACCAAATGACAGGTGGCTTGGTGTGCACAAGCTTTAAGACACTAGAGCATCCACAGCAAATAAGGAATTTGAAGAACTCATCTCCTCCAGGGGTGCAGTGGGTGGGGATCGGTGAGCCTGACAATACCAAAAGTAATTCCGCTAGCTGAAGGTACATTCTAAACTCAAGGTATATTTCCTTGAGAAACTTTTCATTTAAAACAAAGCAAAGCAAAAGCTGACAGGAGCTCAGTGGGTATAGCATCTGTGTGTAAGCACCGGTAGCTGAGTTCAAATCCCAGCTCTCACAGACCTGGTGCCGAGGAGGTGGCAGCAGCAGGATCCCTTGGACTCACTGACCAGCTGGCTTAGCGCAGTCAGTGAGCTCCAGGCTCAGTGAGCTCCAGGCTCAGTGAGCTCCAGG